TGTAGCCCCCTCCCTCCTCTCCTCCCAATCCCACCCTCACAGCCCCCTCCTACCATTCCCCTCTCCCCTTCTCTGCCCAATACCCACCAACGAGTACCAATCCACCTGGCACATCAAGCCCCAGCATGACCTAAGTGCATCCTGCATCCTGTCGCACTGACAAGGCAGCCCAGCTAGAGGAAAGGGATCCAAAGGCAGGCAACAGATTTGGAGACAAACCCTACTCCCATTGTTAGGGGACCCACATGATGACTGAGCTGCACACCTGCTACACATGTGTAAGGGGGCCTAGGCCCAGCCCATGCACGCTCTTTGGTTGGTGGTTCAGTTTCTCTGAGTACCCATGGGTCAGGTTAATTTACTCCATAGGTTGTCTTGTGGTGTCCTTGACCCCTCCAGCTCCCTAATCCTTCCTCCCAGTCTTCCACAGAACTCCCAGAGATTTGCCTAACGTTTGGCTGTGGGTCTGCATCTGTTTTCATCAGGTGCTGGATGAGGCCTCTCAGAAGACAGTTATGCTAGGATCCTGTCTGCAAGCACAGCAGCATGTCATTAATAGAGTCAGGGGGTGGGTTTCAAGCTGATTGGCCATTCCCTCAGACTCTGTATCAGCTTTCTTAGAGAACCCAGGACCACCAAGGTTGGTAGCCCAGGGGTGGTACCACCCACAATTGGCTGGGCCCTCTCCCATTATCACTAATTAATAAAATGCCCTACAGGCTTGCCTACAGGTGATTTCAGCTGGTGTCAAGTAGACAAAACTATCCGGCAATCCACTTAGGAAAACCCTGTTTCTAAATCAATGGAGAACAGCTAAAATTATTCTGAGACAGGACATATAGGCCTACGACCTGTAGACAATGCCTCAGTACCCGCATGGGAAAACCTTTGAGGGGGAACCCCAAAGCCAGGCAGGGCCAATAGAGAGTCCCTGGACAGCTGTAGGGACAAGAATTGGCCAGCGCTGAGTCCTTTCCCAGATCCTATTGAGCATCTTATTCCACTTTCTATTGATCTCTTACTGTTAACTTGTAACTGCAGATGGTTGTAGTTCAATGTATTTAACACACCATTACTTTATTTGGCTTGCGGAGCATGGAAAGATGTTCAGATATGAGAGGTTTTATTATACTTTTAGAATCTTTTTTGACGGGGGAAAGCCTTGCTGAGTGACCTCTCCTTTTGAGTTCCTGCAGTATATAGAACCCAGATATGCTAGGACTAAGGGGCTTATAGACATATAGGTTGACAGTTTGTTGTTCAAATGTAAGTTTTGACCATTTTGACATCACTATTTAGATATTGTCTATAATGTGTGAATTAAAACAGGTCTCTCTTTTGTGTGTGGTGTGGTAGTGGCTTCCTGGCTTTTGGATTTGTTTGGTTTTAACGGGACTGGCTACATGGCCCAGGCTAGACTCTAAGTGATCCTCCTGCTGCAAGCTCCCCTTTATCTGAGATGACAGGCGCGTGCCCATATATGGCAAGCATGCGTTGTCAAGTCTTGATTGAACGATAATTCATGTACCATAAAACTCATTCACTGGAAGTCAGGCATCATGGCACACACCTGTAATTCCAGCACTCAAGAAGTTGTGGCAATAAGAGCAAGAGTTCAACCTGGCCTGCATAAAAATTTGGAGGCCAGCCTGGGTTGCATGAGACCCTTTTTTTTAAAAACAAACAAAAAACAAAACACCAAAAAGTAAGTTAAAAATAATATGACTACTGTAAGTGTACAATGCAATGATTTTGTTTTGTTTCATGTTTTGTTTTCATAAATGTATGCACGTGTATAACCATCACCACAGTCCATTACCCAAATCTTTTTCTTGGGTCTATTTTCAGTGAGTCTCTGACCCTAACCCCACCTGGTCTGCCTTCTGTTTGCCCTTTCTAGAACTGCCATGCTGGGGGCTGGAGAGATGGCTCAGAGGTTAAGGGCACTGGCTGTTCTCCCAAAGGTACTGAGTTCAATTCCCAGCAACCACAGGGTGGCTCACAACCATCTATAATGAGATCTGGTCCCCTCTTCCGGCATGCAGGCCACTGTATATGTAATAAATAAGTAAAATAAACCTTTAGAAATTCCATGCTGATGAACACTGGTTGTGTCAGGTTCCCCTGGCATGTTCATAAGGCATCATGCTTTTCTTGTTGCTAAGTGGTTCCCGTGTGAGGAGGCTGCAATTTGTTTATTCATTTTCTAGCTCGGTGAGGGCATTTGATTGTGTCTGCACAGGCCTCTTGTGAACGGTGCTGTAGAACCACTGTTTACTTCCATTTATCTGGCAGGGTGAAAGGGTGTGGGGGTCCCCAGCCAGCCAGCTCTTAAGGTGTCTTTGCGGATCACAGAACAGAGACAGATTTTCTTGAGGGTCTCAGTACCCTTACCTCCTAAGTCCCACCCTCTCGGCTCTGCATTTGTCTGCCTTTCCCAAAAGCTTTAGAAGTGGAGAGCAGGAACATGTCAACACAACATGTCTGCTTCCCACAAACCGTTATCAGTGCTGTTGGCTGCTTTGGGCTTGCTTCACATCCCCCATTGCCTCTGTTCTTAACAGGTGTAAGATTAATGCAAAAGGGAAAATAAGTCAGTGTTAATCAACTCACGATGAGTCTGCTAAGGTGCTCTTGGTATTTTCCAATCCTCCCTCATGTTTTATCAATTTTATTTTTTTCTAAGTAGATAGTATAATGTATATACCCAATGCAAAATTCACACGGGTCTGAAGAAGTGGCCCAGTGATTAAGAGTGCTTGCCGCACAACATGAAGACCTGAGCCCAGATCCTCAACCCCAAGTAGCTAACTAGGCATGTTCTCACGCATGCCTGTCACTCTAGCACTGAAGTGAGAAAACACAGGGGCCACTGAGGCGTCCTGGGTGCCATCCAAGCTGAAAAGCCATGAGCTCCATGTTCAGAGAGAGATCTTGCCTCAAAGGAATAGGCAGAGGGTGATAGAAGAGGATAGCAACACACCCCCTAGGCCTTCTCACACACCTACACACATACATGTCCATACAGCACACAAACACATGCCACATTCACACACACACACACACACACACACACACACACACACAAAGAAGTCAGAAAGCATTTCCTAAAAACAAACAAAACCTAACATAGAAACTATGGTTTAAGGAGACTAGAATCTTGGTCTTGCAAGATGAAGAGTCTATGATGGTGATAGTGGTTGCGTGACATTGTGGATGTACCTCTGCCACTAAACTGTACATCTTATGGTCAAGGCAGATTTTATTAGACATATTCTGTCAAAATTGAGGTTATTTTCTAAGTCAAATGTAAAGAGGGATTGTTTAGAATAGAAACAGTATTTAGCTTGCATGGATAGGTTCTTTGAAGTTCTCAGTATGTATATGTGCATGACCTTAAAAGAGATCTTGCCATTTGTCACAACACAGATGGGTCTGGGGGACACATATGCCAAGTAAAATGAAGCATACCCTTGTACTTGGACTCCAAAAATAGAAGAAGTAGGAGTAAAAAGTAAAAAATAAAAACACATCAAGCTACAGTATAAACAAGGGCAGCACCATTCAGGTAGCTAGACAATAGGGAGATATAGGTCAGAGGGTAGAAAGTGGCAGACAGCAGGATAAATAATTCTATAGTTTCCGTGTAGGATGTGAGGACCGTGAGAAGTATGCATGTATGTACTGCAGGTTTTTGCTGCATTATTATTTCTGATGTTAGCTGCTCTTTTCACACACAAATCCAATTTATAATCCATATTATACCATTGTTTCATGTTGCAAACCCTAATTATACACAAGAAGTATACACAGTAAACTCATTTCAAAGAACAAAGGAAAGGAAACCATCCTTTGCTATGACTCCTAAAGGCAACCACAACTTCTTGGCTAACCATCTCTGCACATTCTTCACACATGTTTACATATTTTGCCAGATTTCCAAGGCCTGTATTTCCTGTGTAGATAGGAGCATTTACATGCTTTGAACTTGCATCTTTTTACCTTATCGGAGCTGCCATTCATGTCAGTAATAGTCTAATTTGCTCTTTTATCAACTGAAACATAATCCAAGAACGACTGACCCATAGACTGATGGGATCCAAATAGGGAGAGCATTCTTCCCAGAATGTCCATGAGTGCCTGCATTTCTGTCTAGATACTCATCAAAGCGCAAGAATTAAGGGTTGTGTCTACATAGCCTTCCTACTGAACACATTGCTACAGGTACCAGCTGCTCCTCAGCCCACAGCATTAGATACCATCAACACCTGAAAGGGATTCCAGTCTGAAAGAACAGAGATTCTGTCGTTCTTCTGTTAGTTTGAATTCTCTAGTTTTTTATAGTGCAACTTTCCCAGTGTTTAAGTGGCTATTTGATTTTCTCTATGAGACACCTGTTTATGTTTTCTCTATATCCTCCTAGACTGTCTGATTTTGTATTCATTCATGAGACTGGTTTGTATTTAATGGATATTGACTTTTCTATTTACAAAAGTACATTCTTTCAATCTTTATTTTAAAATGTATTTTTCATTGTAAGTGTTTAACTTATGTGTCAAATCTACCTTATACATCATAAAGCTTAGGAATCTTGTCTTATGTTGAACCTCCTTCCCAGGGAATGAGGTTCAGCAGTAGAGCATGCTGTTAGCATGCTCCAGGTTGGAGATTTAATCCCAATACCAAAGAGAGAGAGTAAAATCAGGAAGAAGAGGGGAAGGACAATAGGGGAGAAAGGAAAGGAAGCAGAAGGCTTCCTCCACCCATATAAAGACCATAAATTCACTCACACGATATGCACAGTTCAATATTTTTTATGTATTCACAGAATTGTTCAACTATTGATAGATAGACCGATAGGTAGATACTTCCCTTCCTTTAAGCCAGTATCTTAGTTGCTCTTCAATTTCTGTGACAAAACACCATGGTCAAGGCATGTTATTAAAAAAAAAAAAAAAAAAAGTTGATTGGGGCCTACAGTTTTAGAGGGTGAGTCCTGCCCATCAGGTTGGGGAGCACGGCAGCAAGCCAGCAGGCATGGCACTGGAGCAGAAAGAAGGAAAAGAGCTAGCTGGGAATGGCATGGGCTTTGAGACCTCAAGTTACCCCAAGTGACACACCTACTCCAATGAGAATCTTTCCCAAACAGTTCCACCAACTGGAGAATAGGTACTCAAACATGAGCCTATGAGGGCCATTCTTATTCAAACTACCACGCGGACAAATACTCCATTTTTCATCTACTCATCTGCTGACAGCATTTGTATTGCTTCAACATGTTGGCTGCTATGGGCAACGTTGCTGTAAATAAGTCCACGTATCTGTTTGGGTTCTTGCTCTCACTTTCTCAAAGGAATTGCTGGCTCCTACTCTTTGTGACTGGTTCCTCTGTCCCGTGTTAGAGCCAGCTGCGTACTTATGTTCTAACCACACAACATCCTCACCACCTGCGGTTATTGCCTGGTTTTCAGGTTAGAATCACCATAGGGGTGTGAGGTGGAACCCATTGAGGTTTTGTATATTTAAATCATGCACCAGTTCATGTGTATTTTTTTTCTTGTTTGGGATTTTTCCCTCAAATATGCATGCATTTTCCATACTGTACGTAATGTTTTTACTTTCTAGTAAATTGTGTGTGTGTGTACATGTGTGTGTGCATGTGTGTGTACGTGTATTCTTGCATTAGTAACTGGTGTCCATCCTAAGCCAATACCATGCTGTTGTGGTTTCTGTGTTTGATGTCTGATGGTACAAGTGTCTTTCAATGTGGTTCTTTTTCAGAGTTGTCTTGTCAGTGCTTGAATATTAATTACTTCCTCTACTTTACTAAAGAATTGGTATATGGTTCCATTTTAAAAGTTCCTGTCATATTCTTGGAATGACAGAGTTTGAAAAGCAGCTTCCTCTTTGACTACCTATCATGTAGTGCATGTTTTTACATTCAATAGAAAGTGATGAAGAGAGGAAAAATCATGCTACCTAGGCTGGATTCATTTGGCTGCTTGAAAAAGCCCTGGGGAGTATTTGGGGAAAGTGCCTTCCGACCTCAGAAGTCAAAGGAGCAGGGCAGTGGGGAGATAGCAGTCTCCTCTCATCTGCCTGAGCTAGACATTAGAGTGTGTGGTTCACAGGGGACGGCCTCAGTCATTCAAGAACTTTTGCACCGTGGACTATAAATTGGTGCCCCACACACACACATATATTCACCTGTTTCTTTCTCTAGTACGACGCTGTCCGAATAAACCAGCTCTACGAGCAAGCTAGGTGGGCTGTTCTCCTGGAGGAAATCGACTGCACAGAAGAAGAAATGCTGATCTTTGCAGCCCTGCAGGTTAGGGATATCTGCAGCTTTTCTTGGGGGAGGGGAGGGAGCTTAGTTTGTTCTGGTTAAAGCATTCTGTTTGTACCTTTGATGAGATAAAGGAAAGGGAAGAAAATAGGTTTCTATGTAAAAGGGGCCTCACAGTCTACGCATGCGTGCTTGCTATGTTTCTGCAGCCTCCGTCACTTGCCTCCCGCCCGCATAGGGGCGATGCAGAACTAAGTTTGACCACAACTAACAGTAGATCTCAGAATTACTTTAATTAGATGTCATTTTCCTGCACAGACAGACCTCCTTCCAGAAGGTGTTCAGAAGAAGAGATGGTTAATGATCCGTTTGTGGCCATAACATTCCTAAAACCTCTGTCTTGAGCCAGGCGATGTAGGGAAGTCCTGCCTCCCAGCTTGTGGGAGAGCTGAGACAGGAGCTACCTAGGGAGTCTGACAACAGCCTGGACAACTCAGCAAGAGCCCATCTCAAAAACATGTTCACTTAACTAAATAGAAATAAAACTTCTGTTTATGTTTTAGTATCATATCAGCAAACTGTCGCTGTGTGCGGAAATACAGGACTTTGTGACGAAGTCTGAGGTCGATGAAGTAGAAGCCGCGCTGACGAGTTTGGAAGTGACCCTTGAAGGCGGAAAGGCTGACAACGCTTTGGTATGAGTGCTTCTGTTAGCTCAGAATCTGTCCTGCAAATGCAGATTGGGAGAAAGAGAAATTGTTCTTCTACATGAGAAACTCAAACTTAGCAAGAACGGCCAATTCTGGGGTTAGCTCTGCAAGGGAATGTTAAGTTTATCACCACCGATGGGAGCTTTTGTGGTTGCATTTCTTCCTGGGATCAGTGGGCACAGTACAGAAATTACAATGGGCTCCAACATGGAGTTGGTCTGTTAAGTGAAGAAAGGGCCATGCAGCCCATGGCATGGGACACAGGTGAGGATGAAGAAGAAGCTCTGAAAGCCTTAGTGTCTGGTCATTCGTTGCCCTGAATAAGGCTGACAGGAGAGAAGCCTTTTCTCAGGACAGTGGTTTTCAGCCAGAGGGTTATGACCCCTTTTGCGAGTTGTGACATCTCAGATATCCTATGGATCAGATATCCACATTAAAATCCGTAACAGTAGCAAAATTACAGTTATAAAGTAGCAACAAAATTAATTTATGGCTAGGGGTCATCGCACCATGAGGAAATGTATTAAAGGGTCACAATGTTAGGAAGGTTGAGAACCGGTGCTCCAGGATATCATCAGACATTCCGAGACACTAAAGCCTTCTAGTCACACCTAAGGGAAAAAACAATATCAACCTCATCTCTCTCCCCAGAGATGTTTGGATGGCAGCCTTTTCATTGCAATGCCTCAGTGGTTTGACTCTTCACTGGGCACTTCTCTTTTGTTTTAACCTCTTCAACCAAGGGAATGATTACCGGTTGAATCACATTGAATCCAAGCAGTGGGCTCGCTAAAACTGGATCTGCCTGAGCACTGAGAATGAGCCACTACATTTTTATGCATTCATTGTTAGTTCTCTAACAATAACTGCCTTAAAATAGGAAGTGGGTTTCATAGAAGAGCAAATACGTAATACACAAAGCAGAGCCTTCCCCAAGCAAGGCTTGGTTTTGGAGCTTGTTTTCACCTGCCACCTACTCGGAATATGTAGCAGGAAGTTAATCCTTCTTGGAATAAATGAGGCATTTCCTTTTTCCCCTCAGTAGTTTTATATGCTTCAGCCAGCCATCAACCGCCACTTTGGAATGAACTTTCAGGTTTAATCAGTGACCTGGATATTACTAGAGTTACCCTCTTTAACTTAAAAAATTACAAAAGATCTGTTCACACACTGAAGTCATCATTTCTAACTCAAATTTCTAACTTGAATGATGTATAGGTATAAGAAGTATGAATTGATTTTATTTTTTTACTTTTCACATTCTTATCCTCACAAAGTAAAAAAACATACAAGTATACATACTAACAAGCTGATGTTGCCGACCAAGTCATCATCCAGAATTGGGAAACAGGACTTTGTCACCTGCCCAGGGGCCCCTGCATGCTCCTCACTCAGTTTCCACTCTTTTCCCCCTCTCCCCCTCCCAGAGATAACTGCCGTGGTCCCTGTGACTGAGGAACTCGCTCTCTCCTTTTATTTTAATTGATTTAGATTTTAAACTCTCTGTGGCAAGTGCCTGACACACTGGGTGACGCAGGTGTGGACTGGCAGGGCCATCTGTGAAGTCCCAGCTGGTAACTCTTACATCTCTCCTTAGGAGGACATTACTGATATCCCTAAACTCGCAGATTATCTCAAATTATTTAGGTAAGTATCTTGAAATGGCCAAAGAGTGCCTTGGAACAGACCCTCACAAGTAAGGTCTGGGATGGGACATAAGTGCATACAGGGGCAGGTCCACAGGTCAGAGGTGGGCTCTGAGTTATGGGCTTTGGCATAAGACAAGAGTAGGCTGGACCTCAGCGGCCCCTCCCCCACCACATGCCATGGCCATGCTGAGTGCAGTTTTTAGACTCTGGACTTTAGTTTCCTGTGCTGTAAAGTGGGAGTGTCCTCTTCTCGAGTTTGCCTGGAGCACTGGATAAATAGGGGCATTTGAAGAATTTAGCAGAGGGCCCGGCACATGCATGCTCACAGACCAGTGGGGTAAACATGAGCAGGTCAGCAAGACTGAACACGCACACGGCAATGTCGTTTCTGTTAGGGTGCGCATTGGGAGGCTCAGGACTCTGACACCATCTGAGTAAGAGCTGTTTGGCAGTGAAAGAATTGTTTTCTTCCTAGTACTTTGTCCCTGGGCTTATGGGGAGGGGTCGCCTCCATTCACCTGCTCAGTGCTGGTCAATCTGCCACGGTCTCTGTTTGTTTTAAAGGGTGGCCACCTTTGTGATAGTACCAAGGAGTGGCTGGTTGAAAGAAACACGGCAGTCAGTCACTGTGTCGCTTTATGGTTTGTTGACCTTTTGACAAGCCAGTACTTCACTGCAGCAGCTGGTGTGGGGGAGGGGGAATGCAAGTTGCTTTTGACGATACAAGAGGCCAAGAAGGACTTGCAAGGACTGAATGGTAAATGTGGTCTATAGTAGAAGCGAGGGTCCAAAGGTGATAATTGTCACTGGGTTTTTAGTATTTGTTTGTTTGCTCTTCTGTTGTGGTAATAAGTGTGGTACCTGTAAATACAATTGAACAGTCAGTCTAATTATACTCAGAGCTTCAGGGGGAAAGAGTAATTTGATGCGGCTTTATAAAATATGCATAATTATTTTACAAAGAAATTTAGTTTTCACAAATGAAGAAGACCCCTTCTTGTAGATGTTCTGGCATTTTACAAAGAGATGACATGTTGGTAGTGACATTTGTCCTCTTCAGTTCTGCTGCCTGGTGGCTTTAGCTGTCACTTATAGCTAGAATCACTAAGATTGTCCTGCTTGAATGGACACTATCTAGCAAAGGTCTCACACTGCCAAACTTACTATATAGTAATATAATATGTAGACTTCCTGGATAGAAGAAAGGAAGAAAGGAAGGTGAGGGGTGATGAGGGAGAGGGGATGGAGATGTGGGGGAGAAAGGGAAGAGGACCAGAGAGAGAGTAGAGCTACATTCCTAGTAGAGTATTCAGAAGGCCCTGCATTTCCCTGGGCGTCGTTGATGTGAGAACAGAGGATCAGTCCTTTGAGGATGACTATTTACTCTTTCTGCAGGGAAGCTCTTTATTGTTTTTCTAAACGAACTCTGGTGTGCCCACTATCACTGTTGAACAGTGAGCTCCACTTTCCAGCAAGATGACATTGGGTCTGATGCACTTGCCAGTGTAGCTAGAAGTACACAGGAATACCATGTAAAATACTAGATTGCAGTCAACAAAAATGTGCATGAAGTGACCGAGAAGTCTCCACCTGCCCAGGAGAGGGGCTCGTGTAGCCTGGGGCTGCTATCTGTTGGGTTGATTGATCTGATCATTTGTTTTGACACAGGCCACTTTGTAGCTCTCTCTGGCTGACCTGGAAGTTATTATGTAGACCAGGCTCCACTCAGACTCACAGAGAGATCTGTCTGCCCCTGCCTCCTAGTGGTGTGGCTACAGGTGTGTACCACCACACCCGGCTGGGGCTGGTGTTTTGGCTTTCATGTAAGTATAAGACAGATAGCTCTACAGGTCAGATGAAGCAATAAGCCAGACAGACGCGCCCAGGGAAAGGTGGGAACTCCAAGGACTGTCTTCTCCGCCCAACACAAAACAGGAAACTATGGGTCACTTGGAGGAAGCGGAAGGCAATGCAGGCTGTGGGACACAGAAAGCCTCTCTGTGGAACCGCAGCCAGGGCTCATGATTCATGAAGGTTGAGATAAATGACAAGGGAATCAGAACTGAAGCTGGTTTGGACCACAAGACCCGTGAAGCTTTAGCAACTGCAGCTCTAAAAATACTCAGAGACAGAAACCAGCACACTGCATATGGAAAATAGTGTGAGTTCCCACTAAAAATCATAGCCACATGAGTAGGTGGGCCATTAATAATTTTAGATGATAAAATAGAATAAATATATAATATAATAATTTGGATGATATCATAATTTTAGATGATTAAGAAACTAGTGAATATGATTATAACCACTAAGTAAATTTAAAAGTAAAAATTCTAGCAAAACAGAAACGAATTATTGAAAGGATCTGATCTAAGAAGCAATTTTGAAGACAAAATGTATAACATAGAAATATTAAATTGCTAGGCAGAGACTTGAGGATTGCTGCAAGTCTGAAGCCAGCCCGGGCTGCAGAGTGAGAACCTGACTCAAAATAAAATTTTTAATTGTTTCAGTATATTAGCCATCAAATTATTCAATACCACCAAAGAAAATCCAAAAAGGCATATGTTAAAAATATTACTTAAGGGTTCAATAAAATTTGACTCTTGACAAGTGCAAAAATAAATAAATAAATAAATAAATAATTGAATAAATAATTGAATAAATAAATAAATAAAATATTACTTAAATGCACTAAGGAGGCCTGACTTGTGTCTACTGGGTCTTCTTGAAGAAACAGTTGGGAAGGATGAAACATTCAAGAGAGATTACTTAAGAATATTTTGTAAATCTTGAAAATCAAAGTCCTTAAATTCTTGGGTCTTGGGTTTCAGTCAAGATAAATCATTAAATTGGTAAATCTTGATAAACCAGTTGTTGATAAGGGAAAGTCTGTAAGATCAGAGGGAAAAGGACAGATTTTTTGCTGGAGAACAGCGGAGAGGTGAGAGCCCAGCCGTGTCACGTGGACAGCCAGTGTAGGTGGGAAGAGGCCTGGCTAGTGCTGAGAGCATGCAATCAAAGCTGTCAAGTCTGTTCCACATAGGTCATAAAATACCCCAAACAAGCATGATCCTAAGAATTTCCATTTGAGAAAAACAGATCTGTGAGTCTCGGCACTATAGATATGATGACATCGTGAGGACAGGAAGTGGGACAAAGCGCAAGATGTGAGCACAGCTGCAGTGCCACTCTGGAGCAGAAAATGTGACCCCATGAACAGTTAGTAGGAGTGCTGCAGTTAGAATTTGTCCGCTGAGTATTTACAGGCAGGCCACCACCACAAGGGACTTCTAGTTATATTTACATGTAAGCTAGACAAGACAGGTCTCAGACTATTCCAGGGTCTTTGCAATACTTCATAAATAAATGGGGAATGATCGTGAATGCTTGGTCCCACCATAGACTCACTGGCAGCTGGGTGCTGGTGGCATACACTTTTAATCCCAGCACTCATGAGGCAGACTCATGCATCTCTGAGTTCAAGGCCAGCCTGGCCTACAGAGCGAGTTCCAGGACAGCCAAGGCTACACAAAGAGATCCTGTCACAAAAACTCTGGGGGGGGGGGGGGACTCACTACTTCACGTAGGTAAATGCCTGTAAGTTGTATTGTAACATTTTGTTTTTCAAAAATAACTATCCCAAACTTATGACATCATCACTTATAAGCCACCATGTGCTTCCAAACCAATAAACACGCTGATCTCTCCTTGAAGGAACAAGCGATTATTAAATAGTGATAGTATAACCAGATTTTAAAAGATAGTAATATTGTGAAAATAACATTTTTTAGATTTTTTTCATACTTTATGTATATGAGTGGTTTTCTGTATGTATGTATGTATGTATGCCGTATGAATGCCTGGTACCCACAGGGGCCAGAAAAGGGCATTGGACCCATGGAACTAGAGCTGTCCTGTGGGTGCAGCAACTGGTCTTTACTGCTGAGCCTACTCTCCAGCCCCCAAAGATAACATTTCAAAAATAGTCTGCAGTGTTTCCATGGTTACCCTGTTGCCAGGAATCATGCTGTGCATTAACAGACAAATGTGTATCTCAAACATGAAATTGTGAAACAGAGGGTAGCATGGGGGTGTGGTCTGGGGGCGTGGTCTGGAATAAGAAGGAAATGGGTGATGAATAAAGGATGCAGAGATTCCGTAAGATCAGTAAGTCCTGGGGGTTCTACTCCTCTGATTTGCTGAGAAAATTAACTGTTCATGCACTAAAGAGCATAGGTATAAGGAGGGCACAAGAAAGCCTTGACAGGCTTCACACATGTATATGGCGTTAGTGGCAAGAATTTCACATTGCTATCCAGATTTATACATTTATACATTTATACAGTAGACACAGCTCTGAGGTATGGCGATCATACCTCAGCACAGTGTTTCAGTAACTTTCAGACTGGCATACAAAGCAGTGCATCATGGCATCTTCCTACGTAAGCGCCATTATATTTTCTTCTCATTCATTTCCCTCCACTACCCCCCCCCCAGTAAAGCAGTTTTATACAAACAAAAATGACTGAGGGTGGAGTCCAACGATAGTATTTGTCTAGTGTGCCAAGTCCTGGCTCAGTCTTTAAAAACCGTAAAAGAAAATACAAAGTCTGAATGCTTTTAAAACTTGGTAGCATATTTCCATGTTAAATATGATCTAATTCAAGAGCTACAGGGAGTTGAAATCTACTTATTAAAAATATTAAAATCAGTCTATTCTACTTAACTTTCCTAAGTAAGTGACTGACTTCAGAGAAGAGTGAAATTAGTAATCTTGTCTTGACAAATATTTGTAGGGGGGGGGCTATGGCATCACAATTCAGTTATCACAGTTGAGAGAAATCCATGAGGTTTTGGGTAAGTAACAGCATCCTTTCTTGAAATGGTCTGAACGTTCCATTCACTTTATATTGTTGTGTAGGCTTAATGGGTTGTTGTTCTTGGTTTGGTTTGGTTTGGAGACAGGGTTTCTCTGTGTAGTGTTGGCTGTCCTGGGACTCTCACTCTGTAGACCAGGCTGGCCTCAAACTCACAGAGATCTGCTGCCTCCGCTGCCCCGATTGGCTTGATGTTTTCAGTAGTACAGTACAGTAATGTGTTCTGCAGTTCTGGTGTTCTGATGTTTAAATATTTGCTGTACTTTAATTTGCAGACCCAAGAAGCTAATGTTAAAAGCTTTCAAGCAGTACTGGTTTGTCTTTAAAGACACATCTATAACCTACTTTAAAAATAAGGAACTTGAACAAGGAGAGCCAATAGAAAAACTAAACATTAGAGGTAAGAGTGGTTTGCACCTCACTGTGGCACAGACTGAAAACACGGTTCCAAGGGGATTCAGAAGAATCTCTGAGCCTGGCTGCTTGCCAAACATCGGCTCCTCTCATCGCAGAGCGGGGTCAGCATGCTGTGATAGCTCTTCTCACCCAGCCTGTGAGGCTTTCTAACTCAAAAGCAGTTGTGTCCAGGTTGGGAGTGTGGCTCAGTGTAGAGCATTTACTTCGTGCAAGGTTCCTAGTTCAATCCCAAGCACTACAGAAGAAAAAAAAAATGCCAAGAAATGTTGTGTTTCATTCTTAGTTACATTAGTGCCCATTCTAATGTCAGAGTGACTATGAGTGCATTGTTGTCTCTGCTCCCTGAGTTACTTTATCAGCCACTGTGCTCAGCTCTGCTATCACTGTAGCAGAAAATCACTTCTGCTTTGATCTTTTTTGAATTTTGTATTTGTACCAGGACTGAGGATAAGCTCCTGAGGCAGGAGGACTGTGAATTCAAGGGCAACCTAAGCTACACAGCAGATTCAAGGCCAGCCTGGGACACATTGGAATCTTGTCTCAAAAGAAAAAAATTTATATATATTTATATATGTACATATATACATTCACAGCCACTATCATACTAAAATGAATGCAAAATAGTAAATTTGTTTTCTTTTTCTTTCATGTTGCTTATAAAGCCACTTAGTTTTCCTTGAATTACTGTTATTGGTTGTTCCTCTAGCTTTGACTTGTGGTCAATCTTGGCTGTAGATATACATTGTTATTTATTACAACAGACTTCTCAGCACTCAGTTTCGTCCGTGCTTTCTGTTTTTCAGGGTGTGAAATTGTGCCCGATGTGAATGTAGCGGGGAGAAAATTTGGAATCAAGTTACTAATCCCTGTTGCTGATGGAATGAATGAAGTGTATTTGAGATGCGACCATGTAAGTAAAGTCACTGAATCTCCTCACCTCCTTTGTATTAAGACTCAGAGCAGGGGCTGGTGAGGTAGCTCAGTGTGTAAAGGTGCCTGCTGCCAACTGGATGATCTGAGTTCAGTCCCCAGGACTGGGCCCCAGCTTGTCTTCTGACCTCCTCCACCCATCCACAGGGTACACGTGTGCCTACCCACCACACACAATAAGTGAGTAAATAAATAAATAACAGAAAAACACACGGAGACTTGTTGGTTTTCATATAATGGGTTCGATCCCGTAAACACATCGTAAATGAAAATCACCGTTCGGCCAAAACTGCATTTAAAACACCTACACACATCCCAGCTTAGGCCCCCTTAGGCCCCCAGAGCATGCGCACTAGCCTGCACCTGGCTAAGCCACCCAAGAAAACCTGTGTCACAGCAAATCACTAAATACTTAGTAACGTATTGAATTCTGTACTGAAAGGGAGATGATCGTTAAACCGTGTTCTCACATTCCTACAAAGCTGAGGGCGCCTCTATAGAGCTGTATAAAGATCAGTCCATAGAGATGGTTTCCAAAGCTGCTGCTCTGTAACAAACATGGTTGGTAGTGTAGCACTGATGTTCCAACAGCATCTGAATTTCTGCAGGGGGAGTCTTGTTCCAGGTAATGTTAGCTGGCTTCGTATGAGAGTTAGAATCTTTACCTAGCATGGACGACGTTACAAATAATACAGTCAGCCAGGTGTGGATTTTTTTTTTTTTTTTTTTTTTTTGCTGTTGTTGTTTGTTTTTTGGTGTGTGTGTGTGTGTGTGTGTGTGTGTGTGTGTGTGTGTTTTCATCATGTATGTCAGCCATGTTATGAATATGGAAATCATATCTATGAAACTCTCAGGAAGTTTGAGGCTTCATTTGCACCGCTCGGGACTCCTTTGCACTCGCAGTTCCCTGTGCAGAGTGGTACAAGCTGACGCAAGCTCTCGTGGCCGACACAGTCGATAGTTAGCAGCCACTCAGAGTGTGTGTCATCGCACGTCTCTCCCTGATTGGGAGGTGAGAGCTTTATATGCTAGTCTAAGGTCTCTATTGCCGCTTACCCTTTGGGCTGTGATCAGCTACAGAGCCAACCTCTGCTGTGTCTGTAGCAAGGCGGCCCACAGGAGTACCTGCTTCCACGCACTCTGGTTTTTGTGACAGGAGGATCAATATGCCCGGTGGATGGCTGCCTGCATCTTGGCATCGAAGGGGAAAACCATGGCAGACAGCTCATACCAGCCAGAGGTCGTCAGCATCCTTTCATTTCTCAAGATGAAGAACCGGAGCTCATCCCCACCGATGGCCTCCAGTCTCGACAGCATGGATATGAACCCAGAAAGCTTAGTATCGCCTCGCTGTGCGAAAAAGCACAAGACTAAACAGGTTCTCGCCTACTTGGGTGTTTGTGTACAGGGACTCGTCCGATTAAGGCCATCATCATGAAAAATGGGTTACCAGAGAGATTCGACTGGGTGGTAGAAAATGTGGCCGAATCACTGTCAATTTTGCTAGAAATCATTTTACTGCTGACTGAATATAGTAATTGCCCCAGGTTGAACCTAATTAAGGATGAAACTATTTATTCCCTACAAAATAAGAATCAAAATTATACTTTTCATGGTGTGGGTTAAAGGTTGCGTGGGTGAACGCACTCCAGTGGAATCAACACTGAAAAGAGCCATCGGCACGGACATTAGAAGTGTGTATGTGTTGACTGATCCTGGCCCTCCTTCCACTCTAGGATTCTCACAACCTTGCAGACAGACAAGAATGAATTGATCAGTTAGTTAATTAGTAGACTGGTCAGTCTGCGCAGAGTGTGGTGGAGGCCTGTTCTTACTGTTCACTGGGGATCTCAGCGAGAAGAGTGGCTACAGAGCAGTCAGTAGAGCATGAAGCACAGCCTCATTTCTCCCATTTCTGCTTAGCTGGCAGCCCGGATCCTCGAAGCTCACCACAACGTGGCCCAGATGCCCCTGGTCGAAGCCAAACTGCAGTTCATCCAGGCCTGGCAGTCCTTACCTGAATTCGGCCTCACCTACTACCTTGTCAGGTGATTACAGGGTCCATTCGGCCCACCTCCCTTCAACCACTGACGGCTTTCCCGAAGCCTGCTTTGCTCTCAGTCTAGAAGGTCAAATTCTTCTTCTTTAGAATGTTGCCATTTTCACAAATAACGCCAGGACTTTGACTGGCCTTAAGAAGTTCCCATACCTTCTGCTCAGCTGAACGTAGGAAAGGAAATGTTCAGATTTTACAAAGAAATTGTGTTCCTTTAGGCTAACCGCCTGTGCCAAACTAGATGGAAAATGTTTGTGCTACCTGTGACTTCCCTTCATTTCAGGTCTCTCTTCCTATCATGTATCTCACGGTCTGGCCTTGTGTGGCTTTCTAGAGTTCCAGACAGTCTTGGGAACACACAGAACACGTTCTCCAGCCTTTTCAGACACAGACCCCATTCCTGTGGATCACTGCAGATTGCCGGCCTGAATGCCCTGTGTGTGGTTCACCTGTTCGTACCTTCTTGTATTTTACAGATGAGAACATATTCTTCTATGGGAAAAAAAAAAAAGAGTTACATGATTTGTCTAAGTTTACTGGATAGTCAGGGACACTGACATTGATAATCTGTACTAGTGTGATGGCTGTGTCCACTGTAGGATGTGGAAACTTGAAAATGTGTCCACAGACAGGCTAAACAAAAATGAATGTTTTAATCCAACCCACATTCAGCCACTCCCTTCTCTCCAGATCCCTCCAGTCATTTTTCCAACTTCAAATACTGTTTTTGTTTTGTTTGTTTGTTTGTTTGTTTGTTTTTGTTTCTTGCTAACTGAGCCCACTCTTTAAAGTAAGGTAAACTGTCAATTAAGCAAAGTGTATGCTTTCTTCTCCGGCACAGCAAGCAGAATGTCACAATCTCATTTCAGATTGCGGCTGATGGGCTTGCGTTGTAAGATGCTGTTACACATTTTCCCTGGTTGTTTCCAAAGATCTGGTTCCCCCTGCCTCTGCTAGCAAGGGAATATGTTCATGCTTTTCTCTGTTCACATCTCATTTAACTTTTGCTTATACTCTTTGTCCCAAAGGAACGATTCCTTCTGCTTTATTCTCCACCACAAGAAGAGTAAGGGAAATGGCACATGCTGTCACACCCTTATTAGCCTCTCAATCAAGACAAGGGCAGGGGGCTTCTGTGTGTTAAAGCTAGCAGGAAGACTAGCCTGAGCTACACAGCCAGACACTATCCGAAAGCATCAGAGGCTAAGGATGGAGTGCAGTGGCAAAGGCCCTGGGTCCCTCCCCAAGCACAGAGAAGAGAAACAGAGGCGACAAAGCTTTGGCTGCACACACATGTGTACCCGTGTACACAAGGCACACACTTCCCTGTAACTCGGAGGTCAGCACAGGGCGGAAAGCAGGGATACTTGAGACAGCCAGGCCCAGCATCCAGGCACACCTCTTGCCACGCTAGCTTCTGACCCTCAGCATTTGCATCCGTCTTCCCAAGAGGCAGCCAGGGGGCAGCTAGGGGCTGTCGGACCTCCATGGTTGAGCAAATCCAACAAGAAACAGTGTGAGCCACGTGGTAGTTAATTATAAAGTGTGGGCGGGCCCTGTGCAGACACCCAGGACGTCTGCTCCCCACGTGACTTCTCCTTTTGCCTGCTTACCCCTTCAGCGCCTACACCTGGAACCTCCAAATTTTAATTATAAAGATGTTGAGACAGAAGCCCGAGATATAGGTTTCTGCACTTCCCAAGGCTAGAACAGGGCTAGAAGGAAGGGATGGAACAGGCCTCATCTGTGGGATGACAGGCAGCAGCAGGGACTTGGCCATCCCCAGAAAACTGGGTCTGTGAATCACGACTTCCTGGAGGCTGCCCACAGGGTTTCCATGTGTCAAATTCTGATAGTAAACTCGGAGGGAACTGGAAGTGCAGCTTAGTTGGTAGAGCGCTTGCCTAGCGTGCACAGAATTCTGGGTTCAATTCCCTAGTATTTCGTAAAACTGGACATAGTGATGCCAACCTGCAACCCCAGCCTTTGAGAGATGAGGCAAGAGAATCAGCCCTGTCACATTAGGGCCCTGTCTCAAAAACATTTGTTTGTTTTCTTGTTTCTTTCTTTCTTTCTTTGTTCTTTTCAAAATAAAGACTTGAGGTAACAGGACGAATAAGAAAAAGTATAGAATTGATCCTAGAAAGGTAGGCCCAATTTTAATCGAAGGTAGGAGATAAGATGGAAAATGGCTTGTCTGGTTGGGATTTTTCTCTCTCCACACTGAGATCAGCCTCTAGTCCTGGCATCTTCCCTTGCTGCCCCCATGTCAGTTCCCTTTCCAGCAGAACTCCTCAAGCACATTGTACATACCGTCTCCAGTTCCCTCTCACCTTGAACCCACTCCGAGCACCACCCTCTACGCCACAGCCTGCCACCTGCACTTTACCCTTGACCTTCGCTGAATCCAGTGGCTAACTCTGAGTCCTTGTGCCCCAAGACCTCTGAGCACCCTCTGACTGTAAAGCATGCCTTCCTCCGGGACCTCGAATCTCAACACTGCAGCTCTCCCTGGTTAGCCCCCTCTCCCTGGCCGGTTCTTTTAATCTTCTTTCCTGGTTCATTCTTGTCTCCCAGTTTCTTATAATGCTGCAGTACACAAACCCGTAGGATTTAAACCACTCCCCAAACTATTCTCACTTTCTCAGGGCTCAGCCATTCCTTTGTGTTCCTTTATTTAAGGAACTGATTGCTCTGAGATGTGTATCTCGAGCCAGGAACCCTCTCTTAACCTGCAGATTCACCCATCCAAACATCAGAGTGTTTAAAGCGTTGGCATCCCATTTCACTATGTCCAGAACTCCTACTTTCCCCCACTAACTGCCCCTCCTTGAGTTTTTCTGCACCTCACTAAGTGAGAACTCCTCCTGCAGATGTGCCCCGAGTCATTCTTGACCCTGTGGTCTCTGCTGCACTGACATTACATAGAGGGGCAAATCCTACCAGCTCTACCTTCGAGGCACACACAGAATCTCACCATCACCACCACCTAGGCAGTGCCTGGGCCACCTTACCTGCCCCCCCTGCCTCTAGCCTTCTCTTCCAAGACAGCACAAGAGTTATTCTTGTAAAACCTAGGACAGTCCATGCTAAGCCTCTGCTCAAAACCACCTAGAGCCTTTCTTTGCCACCCAGACTGTTTTTACAGCTTAGCCTTCTGCCATTCCTGTGCCCTCCTTAATACTTTGCCTGCCCCCCTGACATCCTGGCAGGCTTTAACTATACTCACATGTGTAAATGGCTGTACCCTCTGCCTGGAATATTCCTCCAGATATCCGTGTAGCTCCCTCACCCCCAGGCATCGACTCTGGTTCTGTCACCTCCTTCTCTGACCTCTATCTGAAGTGGTGATAACCTCATGCTAGAACTCCCTGTTGTGCTTTGCTTTCTTCTGTTGTCTTATCTGGCACATGACTTCACTTTTTCGTGGTCTTCACTCTCTGCTGGCCAGGCATATTCTACCCCCTAGGCCTAGAACACAGTGGTGCTAATTTTGTATGAAGTGGTTTGACCTCCTCAGGAAAGCCTTAATTCCCTCCCATTGTTTATGTCCTCTTTATCACCGTAAAAGAGGCCTCCTTTGGGAATCGGGTTGCTTATTGTCTTTTCTTCCGAGATAATTTAGAAATGTGATGAGATGACCCTTAAGAAACTGTATGTGGGGGCAGTGAGCTGGCTCAGCAGGTAAAGGCTGCACAAGCCTGGTGACCTGAGTTCCCTGGAACCTACATTAAGGTGGAAGAAAAGAACTGACACAATAAAGTTTTCCCCCGACCTTCACACGTGTGTTTTGACCCACACATGTACATCATGCATACAAACAATAATAATAAATGATTTCAAAGAAATAGTATATGAATAACAGTTGTTCCCTTAATTTTCAGATTTAAAGGAAGCAAGAAAGACGACGTCCTGGGAGTTTCATATAACAGGCTGATTAGAATCGATGCAGTCACTGGGATTCCAATTACAACGTGGAGATTCGCCAACATGAAGCAGTGGAATGTCAACTGGGAAATCCGGCAGGTGAGGCAGAGGCTTCCGATGTTCCAAGCTCACGTACGAATGCGCGTTCTCAGAGATTCAGCTCCACTCCGATTTTTTTAAAGGTGCCTTTAGAGTTAGAACTCCAGAGCCACAAACGTGATAATTGCCCATTAACATACCAGTATATATTTCTGGATGGTTTCCTAACACATCTGGACCCAGAGTTCCTCAGTTAGCACTGTCAATTGGCTTAGCTTGGGTGAAGCTTTCCCATAGACACAGATTATAAAACTTCGAAACAGTTGGTTCCATTTTCATAAACTCACCATAGGATGACATACAACTGAGCACAATCATTGCTTACCAGAACTACCGTAGATGAAACCCTACCCAAACAAATCCATAAAATCCTGATCTGACTGCCCAGAGCTAGAACAGCCTGTGGGCCTACAGGCTCCGGTGCTCACCCAGAGGGGAAGAGGCCCAAGGGAGGAAGAGCTGAGGGAGCAACAGAGATGCCTAGAGATGACCAAGGAAAGCTTGTCCTGTCCTATCAGACAAGCTCTCGAGCCCACAGTAACTGCTGCCATCATTTTCCATCCTAGGGACTATAACTAGGCCAATGCCAAGCGTACATCATTAGAAAATTCTAGATAAAGCTAAGAGATACCTTGGTACCCAACTGATGACACAGAACAGCTTGATGCCCCTGGTATAAGAATCTGTCTTGCAGACGGTGAGACAGCTCAGTGGTTAAGAACGCATGAGTGGCCTGGGTTTGGATCCTTAATGGCACAACTGTAAATGCATGTAACCCCAGCACTGAAGGGTGCAGTCAGGCCCATGCCAGGCTAGCTGAGCATCCTAGCTCAGACATGGAGCTTCTGTTCAGTGACAGAGCCTGCATTAAATAAGTAGAGAGTGATAGAGGAAAGCACTTGGCCATTTCTCTGGCCTCCACATGAATGCACACAGATGCATGCACACACACACACACCAAAATAAATACAAAAGAATCTATCTCCTGGGGTTCCTTTTACACTCTCATTTTTCTAAAAGAACACCAGCAACAATAAACATAAAGGAGCTGGAAAAGACCCGCAGTAGTTCTCAGAATGCTGGGTTCCTTTCAGCAGTGTTAACTGTCCAGCACATGTGAGTAGAATGAAAGCTAGAAACTGTCCAGGAACAGGGACTAAGTATCAGTCATTTTTAAAGATCTGCAAGGAATTTCGGGGGAAGGGGCGTGAAAACGGTCCATTCTCTAAGTCTTCTAGTGTTTGGTTCTTATAACTTTTATGGAGGAAGGGATAATAGGCAATGGCTGCTGGGAAGCCTAAGGCCTTTTATTCTCCATTAAAATAAGAGTTTGCAGCCCACAACGGTTGCTCACGCCTGTAATCCTGGCACTCTGGAGGCTGAGACAGGAGGATCACTGCAGATTCAGGGCTTCCAGCCTAGGCTACACACAGTGAGGCTTCATCTTAAAGAATCCAACAAGCTTCCTGGCCTTCCACACAGGGAGTGATAGGGGACCTTCTTAGCTGCTGATGGAGGAAAGGGAGCCAATGATTTACCAGGCACACATCAGAGCTGATACCACCAGAGGGCGCAAAGAGCAAAGACATTTTTCAGGAAGCCAGTTTTGTTTTTGTTTTGTTTTGTTCCCCCCCCCCCCCCATTCGGGGGACTGAGATAGCCAGTCCTCAGCTTTGGGGACTGTGTCCGGCAGAACAGCTGCCTTCTCACCCTTCCTTGCCGGAGTTAAGTTTATCCGTGGCCTACTTTTCCAGGTGGCGATCGAGTTTGACCAAAACGTCTCTATCGCGTTCACCTGCCTAAGTGCAGATTGCAAGATTGTGCATGAGTACATCGGTGGCTACATTTTCTTGTCCACCCGATCCAAGGACCAAAATGAAACGCTGGACGAGGACCTCTTTCACAAACTGACTGGCGGTCAGGACTAAAGTGAAGCAAGCGGGCCTGTTTGGCCTCCATGGACCTCGGAGTTCTCTGATTGGGTAGGATCTGTGGTGTTCCCAGTGTGTAGGTTCCAGACTACCACAATGTACACTTCCACCACCAGAGGCCCAGATCCTTGCCTCGTCTGAACACACTGCCAGCAGCAGACTGGGCTCCTGCTGCTCTTCCTATAAAGTGGCTGGGGAGAGACGGGCAGCGGGGCATTCAGTGCCTGCTCTCAGCCCAGCATGGTGCACCAGTTCTGTGGCTTTGCAGGCGCTGTATGTACTGACCAGCAGCTAGCTGACCTTCTGTTTATATGCCTCATGGTAAGTCAGCAATGAGAGCAGAAGGACAGAAGTGACTGCAGCAAGTACAAATCTCATTCCACAACCTCAGGTCCTTCTTTAACAAAACTCATCATTGCTCTCATCTTGCCAGAAAGCCAGAGGGAGTCTCGATACATTTTTTCTTTGGAGGTCAAAGAGATGAGCAGGGAGAAGCAGGGTTACAGTCATCTTCAGCATCATCAGTTTACAGGGACTGTCACATTGGGTAGGGTGAACCACTGACCGTCTGCTCTAACCATTGGTCTTCCTGTTACTGCTGACCCTAGATGCTCCATTCCTAGGGAATCCCGTGGACACATTGAAGTCCTTAAAGACGTGGGTGCTGAAGGGATATAGGGAGCCCACCCTTAGCCAAGATCCATGACAGGCTCAGCTCTCTGCTAATGGAAAGCACCTGCCACGAAACTGAAAAGATGACTCAGCAGTTAAGAGGGCTTGCTGCTCTTCCAGAGGAGGACCGTAACTGATTTCCAAGTGGCTACCAGGGAGCTTAGGCCTTCTTCTGAACTCCATGGGCACCTGCATTCACATCCACATGCCATACACACACACACACACACACACACACACACACACACACACACACACA